TAATAGCTATAACAAAAGCTTAAGCACAAAGTGCTTCAGCTATTATATATGTATCATATCCAATAGTTGCAGTGGTCAACCAATGCAATATTTGATATGGATTTTACATATAGGATAAGTGTTTCTGCGTTTATTCCCCTAAGCATTTGAAATAACTTGAATTTGCCAATATCCTTGCACAATTCAATAGGAAGTAGCAGTATCCACAGTAAGTACTTGGACAAATTCCCTCCTTGGTCTCAGCACCACTCCTGTCAAACCAGCAGCCACATTTGTGGAAAGGGATTTGCTTGCAAATGGTATTAAATTGAAAGTGTGAGAGATGGAACAGGGTGATCTGTATGTATATCCCTGTTTTGGACATTGATGGAATCACTGTGGAATTGCCTCTGCTGCTCAGGGTTGCTTCATGACTCAAATATAGATTGAATTAATTTATCTCTGTGCTGGAAAAAAATTAATCCTTGACATTGTTAAAACACAGTGAGGAATTGTTTCTCATGGTTGTTCATGGGCAGTTTAAGATGTGAGTTAACATTTACCCTGGGAGAACTTGTTTTCAGTGCACTGACAGGCAGGATGTGAGATTTAAAGTATCCAGAAGGGAGTTGGTAGGAAGAAGGGTACACTTAGATTCGATATTATGAAGAAATTCTTTCCTGTGAGGGTGGTGAGGCACTGGCACAGGTTGCCCAGAGAAGCTGTGGCTGCTCCATCCCTGGGAGTGTTCAAGGCCAGGCTGGATGGGGCTTGGAGCAACCTGGGCTAGTGGAAAGTGTCCCTGCCCATGGCAGAGGGGTTGGAACTAGATGATCCTTAAGGTTCCTTCCAACCCAAACCATCCTATAATTGTGTGATATGAAATATTTAGAAGAAATACTTTTGTCCCCTAACCAGCAGTAGAATTTTTTTATCTGAAACTAATAAGAAAAGAAATGAAGAAATGAACCCAATCAAAACAGGACAAAATGTTATTATTAACATTTACCTTAATTGAGGTTTAATAATATTAAGGATTAATAATTAAGCACTTCAGTTTTGCACAGCTAATTGCAACATGTTTTTCTGTTGTTTCAGATAACATAATTCAGAAAGTGAAATGCCATTTTAACAGCACACGTGGCTCTCGAGCCAAGGCCAACTGGGAGAAGGTTGAGGAGCAGCTGAAATTCCAGCCCCCAGTCCAGCTGAAGCTGGAGGACACAGTGCTGCTGAATGGGATGACCAATGGTGGGCACACAGGTGTTCATGTGGAGGTTGGTAAGTTACTACTACACACAGGTGACAGGAGATTTCCTGACCCTAACTCTGCAAGTGACAGGAAAACACAACTGCAGTGGTTCCTTTTGTACTAAGAAATATATATACCTAAATATCTCATGTATGAAACCAAAAATCTCTCTTTATCATAGTAAACAGCATATGGTCTTCAGGTATGCATCAGCATCTTTAAAGACTTATGGTAGTGTCTTTTTTTCCAGCCTTGGATCAGCTTCTCTGTATTGAAAAATACTTCCAATTGGACTTGGGATTTTCCATGTTTAATTCTCCTCTTTTTGAAGGAGTTCAATTTTCTATGACAAAAGAAGCTCAAATGATTCATTGCTTGTTGCAAAGTTGTAATGAAAGATACCTCATTATGGTCTAAATGAGTTTCTTCAGCCTTGAGGCAAGAAAAGATGAGAAGAATACAAGCTAAGGGTAAAACTTTTCTTCCCAGAGTGGTTTGAGGTGTTCTCCCCTCTTTGTTTTCACCTTTGACCATATTCTTTATAATTTAAATCATTTGACTAAAATTTTGCAAGAGGATTTGTGTATCTGTGTGAACAACACATAAAGCATTGACAAGCAGCTTTTTTTTGTAATAAAACCTGACATTTTACCTGCTTTTAAAGTATGAATCTCTACTTCATGGTATCACCTTATATGTGTTTCTGTTGCATAGGCAAAGTCCTGCCTATTTCCTCCCCAAATGGAATCACAGAATCATTTAGGTTGGAAGAAACCTTTGAGATCATTGAGTCCAACTGGAAACCAAACACTGCCAAGTCCACCACTAAACCATTCCCTATTTTAATCCTATTAACATGGTGGTTTAAATGCAGCTGGAGTGCCAGGAGCTTGTATTTCCTCTTTTTTTTGTTGTTGTTCTTGGCTTATGAAACACTAATAAAATTAAGTTCCAGTTGCTCAATCTTATTGTTTGTGATAGATGAGCTGGAATCTAATTTGACTTAGGTATTTTAAATTAAAGTATAGCAGGGCAGTGGCCAAGAGGAATTAAAAATAGAATTTATTTGCCAGCGAGTTTTGTGAGTGCTCCTCAGAGCTGTTCTTGAAGGTTAAATCTTCTCATGATGTGACAGGGCAGGGAAATTTTTTGCACTAGTGTGAACAGCTTCAGTGCCAGTAAATATTTGCAATCTACTCTGTGTCCACAGATCAGAAATACATTTGCCATTCCCTCGTATTCCTAATTGCTTTCCTTTACTTTCCATCTGGCTTTTTATTTCTGGCTCTTCTCTCTGCTCTAACCCAAATGCTCTTTACAGATTGTTCTGCCTTTATTTTAAGGGTTGTGTTTATGATCATCTATTTCCCTCCACTGGAGTCAGCTTTCCTGGCTTATGTCTCTCTCCTCTCATCATTCCCAAATCCCACTTTGCTGCTCTAAGTTTAGCTGTGTGGATAGTGTTTGTTCCCAGATTAATGTTATTTATATTATGGCTCTGGTGTACAGGAGATTCCTTCAAATGCTGTGGTTGCAGGAGAGCAAGATTTAATTGTGGCTCCTTTCCACAGTGCAGATGGATCACTCAATGGATGATCAAAACATCAGTATCCTAACATGGTTGTAGCTGGCTCCTGTCTACTTTGGAGCTGTGTAGGTTCCTTCCTTGGCTCTCTTCATTGGAGCTATGTGAGCTCATCCCTTGGCTCTTCAGTTTAGTGTGAAAGGGGTTGGAAAAGTCAGGGCAGTTTTGTCCTTGTTAGTGTTTATGGGAACAAGAGCTTTTCTTTTTTTTCCCTATTCTTTTTACTGTTTACTTCCTTTATTAACTAAACCCAACCCAACTCTTGCTAGAAAAACCCTTGTACCCTTGATCACCATCTCCACAGCCTCAGCTGCTGCTGCAAAAGCCTCACCTCATGTCACAGTATGGGCACAGCTCATAACACTCTGGAGGACACTGGAGTCTGTGTCCAGGAGAAATGTGAAGCCTGAAGCAGCTTTATGTGAAGAGGGAGAGTTCTTACATCAGAAGTAGAAGAACAACTTGTGCCATTTGTCTAGTAATTGTGCTGGTAAATTATGCAGCACTGTGCTCCCCTTGATGAATGTTCTTAATCTCAGCACGCAGGGAGTCCTTCAGACTCTGTTCTGAGGTGTTGTTTGAAGCTGTCTCACAGCTCTGTCTTTTGTGTGCTTGTATTTTATTTTCAACTATTTGAGCCTGGTTTCATTTCTCACTCCTGGTGCTCTTTGAGCCAGTGAGTCACGGTCAAACCCTTGTAGTGCTGTGCCTTGAAGAGGCAGAAGAGGAGTGTGGTGCAGGCACTGCTGTTGATCTCCAGTGAAATGGCCAAAGGCCTCTGCTCAGGAAGTCTTTTAGAGGCAGAGCTTTCAATTTCCTCATTGTCTGAAGGTGGTTTCACAGAGTTGTTCTGTACATGTTCAAACCTGCAGGTGCATTTTTCCTGGGTGTTAGATAACAACAGTTCCCAAACATTTCTGTGTTGAACTTGTGCTCTGAAGTGCAGAAGTGTACTTAGAGTTTGAAACCCAACTGGCATTTATGTGTGCTTGTGCAAAATAGTGTTGTCTTGGACTTAGAGTGTTGTTCCCTTATTTAATGTCATAAGCAATTCTAGTATGAAATCCTCTTTATAAAAACATGATTGAATTCACACAAGGAAGTGTAATAAATTATCCCTAGCAGGACCCATCTCACTTTTCTGTGCAATTTCAGTTTGTGAACTAAACCTCAGAATTTAATAGCAGAAATAAAGCTCTACAGCAAACAATTTCAAGATCAGTTTTCACAGGATCTGAGCCCTGGGCAACTGGATATTTTAATCTCCCCTGCATCTGTGACAGTAATTCTTTTTATCCTTCTGGACTAAAAAAAGCTGTAACTTTTACATAATATTCCACCCTGAAGCAGCAATAGACCTTCATTGCATTTCCCTGAGGCCTGGGAACCCTTTAACAGATATAGTTTGGAGGTTCCTGTACAATAAATGACACTTGTGCTTGATAATTTTAACTTGTTTGAGAGATATTTTGTGCCTCTGAAGTAAACCTTAGAAACTGAGGAAAAGAAACAGTTTTTATTAGGAAATTTCCATGAGAGAGAGATAACTGTAACAGAATTTAAATGATGAAAAATAATAGGAAACTGAGTATTTGGGTCACTGAATGGGCAAATATGCTGCTGCAGCTTCTGTTTGGACCTTAAATGTCACTGTTAGCAACAAAAACCCCAACTTGCCTTTGAGTGACAGGTTTGCTTGCACCATGAGGACTATAATATACAGTAATGCTCCATAATGTGACACATATCAACTGGAATTAATACAGTTCCTTTTGCAGTTCCTGTGGAGATGAAATTATGGATGTGTGAAACGTGTGCCAGACAAATTAATTACAGAGACACTTTCTTTACATCCCTATATTAAATTGGCACCAAAGTTTTTTTTACATCCATCTATCAAATCTCTCTTGAAGGAGAAGGCAAGTGTTTTTCCTAGCTGAGACCATGTGGTGCTGCAGTCTTTAAGCTGTTAGGGTGTTTCATCTGTCACTGAAACAAGCCAGAGGTGTAGTTTGTCTGTAATAGTCAGGATCTGGCTACACCTGGACAGGAGGGAGAAGAGCCTGAGAGCTGGGGAGACATCTTGAGAGCTCATTCATTCTCCCCTGTATCTTATGGGTGGATGTTGGGGCAGGAGAAGATCTGGAATTGGTATCTGAGCTTCAAATTATCCTTTTTAATTAAGCTGACTGTGCCCTACTTGCGGTGAGCCAACAGCAGGGATGAGATGTAGGTGATTATCAAGGTGTGGTATCTACTGTTGGGTGAGGGAGGGCAAACTGTAGGTGGCTTTTGGACAGCCCTGAATTACAAGCAGCAGATTCCAAAGTTAAATACACATTTATAATAACTGCTTTGACCTTAATTAGGTATGTATCAATTAGATTATCCTGGAGAAGTGGTGCTTAGCAGTGTGGGTGTTAAGTAGTAGCAGGGAAGGTGAGAGAGGAAGGAGACAGATAATTCACTATCTGTGAAGTGTGGACAGCCTGAACCAAACTGCCAGTGGGGAGAAATACCTAATTACTGGTTGAGGAAGAGATGAATCTCTGACTTGCTCTTTTGGGTGTCAGAAATCTAAGCTCTTGGGGTGCTGAAAGCCTTTAGCTTTTCTACTTACCTGTGGGGAGTGTTAAGCATGTGAATCTGCTGTAATAAACAGTTGAAAAATATCTATGTGCACCATAAAAGAAGACATTAGTGACAAAATAGGTCAAGAAAAATTCTATTGCTGATATGTTTAAAAAATACTGCAGAGCTCTTGCTGATTTCTAGATGTCTAAAGAACTGAACATGTAATGCAACAGGAAAAATGGGGGTTTCTGTTCTTAATATGGATTGAAAGGTTTTGAAAATGTTTTACACCCTCATAAGCTAATTGGTGTTGTTTTCTGTTCAAAGATTCAAAGTAACACTGCAAACTTTCACTAGTGTCTGTTTCTCCTATATTTTTAAGCCCCTACTTACAGAATGCAGCCTGTGACACCTCTGGGGATCCTGTCACTTGTTCTGAATATCATGTGTGGAGCTTTGAACCTCATCCGAGGAGTTCATCTGGCAGAGTATTCATTCCAGGTACCTCTGAGAGCAGTGAAACCTGTGAAGGAGCCACAGGCAGAGAGTTCTGTGGGAAACTAGGTTCAGGGTGGGTGAAGAGCACACATCTTCCCACAAGGAGTGTTTAGTTTGTCCAAAGAATGTAAACTGTTTGCTCACCTGCTAGAGCTCCTTGTGCATCACAACATGTTGCATTTTATTCTGTTCTAGGGAGGTTAAAATTGGGAGAAATATTTCACTCTATTCTGGATTTCCCCCCTCCCCATTCTTGTATTTTATTCTACATACTTTTCTGTAATTTTTTTAAACAAACATGAAACTGTAAACACCTTTTAAAAAGGAAAAAAAATGTGTCCTGATTGTTTGCTGACACAGTTTTATTTAGCAGGAACTGTCACATAAGCCTCAGTTCTTGGTATCTTGTTCAATGATATTGATCTTGGTGTTTAACACTGTTATAGTCAATCAGTGTAAAGCAGGATGAGAGGTACTTGACTATATTTATAGTGTTCTCAAATATCAAACAGCACTTGCTAAAAGCTGTGGCTGACGTAGTTGTTTGTCACTTTTAATCCCAACAGGAGGACCATGAAGGAATTGGGAATGTGATAGCTTTTTTTCTACCTTTTCTAGCCTGTGTTTTTCAGGTATGTTGACTGTAAATGAAATTCTGATTATTTTGATGTTATAATACACAAGGAAAATTTCAACTGATCGGGGGAACAATTTGGGTTTTAGTATCCTGCCCAGGTGATTCCACTGAGGTATTCCAATGGAAGTGGCACAAACACAGTGAAAGGCACAGTTTGACCCTTGGCAAATTGCAGTTGCAGGTTTTGTCAGTGCTTTCACGTTTTGACATACCAGCTGGGGCTGAGTGGGATAAATAAATGCTATCCCAAAGGTGGTTATCCCAAAGGAACACACATCATGCCTCTCTGGCAGTGGCAGACTTAGTGATGGGCTTTTGTAGCATAACCACCTTGAAATACTAAGCAAATGTAGGATATCAGTATGATTGAAAATGTGCACTTCATTCTGTTGGCAAATGTAGTTCCTGACTTCTTCAGATTATTTCCCTAATGGGTTGTTTTCTCAGACCTCCTTACACAGAAGAGTTTGAATGAGGAAAATATTAGCTGTTCCAAATGGGTTTTTCTTGAAACATCCTGAAATTCCTAAACCAGTGGTCCACAGCCTTTAACCTGAGGCCAGTATGTTGGAAAATCTTCACTTTTTAGCCTCTCATTGCAGGAAGCTGCTGCAATTGTTCTGCTAGGAATAACATGAATTCCTACATTGTGCTGATTGTGTAGTGCTGTTGCATTTGGCTCATGGTTTGAGGACCACTGTCTGCAGACTTCTCTTTATTTATGATATTTAAAACTTGTAGAGAGATTATTTATTGTATTCTAGTACAATTTAGTGTCTTTCAGCCGCCTTACACCTCTGCTCACAGCAGAGCTCTGAGATGAAGATAGTAATTTAGATGCAAGTCATTTTTCACAAAGAAAGGCTCTGTCCTGCTTTTTTTCCAGTTAGTACCTGAAGCCAGAGAAGCTAAATAAAGGAGAGTTCTCCCTTCTCCTTTTGATTTATAGCAGTCATCTTCACAAAATGCTTGTGCATAAATTGAGCTGGAATGTGCAGTGCTTCCTACTTGCTGAGCTCTGCCTCTGTCATCAGCACAGTTGGAAACTGTGACCTGAAGTGAGAAAGGCTGAGCTGTTACTGCCTGAGTTAAAAAAGTGGCTCCTCTGTCAGCACTTTGAGCTCTTAGTTTTCTCCTGTAAGAATTGTTGCTCTTCACACATGCTCAGCAAATAGGTTCTACTTATCTCAAGCAGCAATTCCCAGCTGCATCCCTTGTTTTATGTGCATGGTTTACCCCTAACACTGTCTCTCTGGTCCTTTTGTAGTGTTACTTGTACCTCTTCTACAGCTCAGCAAGGAAGGTGAAGACATTTGTCCTCCTTCTCTGTGTTTGTTTCTGCAACATCTACCTGTATGGATTACGGAACCTCTGGCAAATAGCCTTCCACATAGGAGTGGCTTCTCTGTCTTCTTCCCAGATCCTGATGAGGCAGCTCATGGAGAAACAGCCTGACTGTGGTGTATGAAAAAGACTGGGTTTGCTACTCTGTTTTTACATCTCTTTTTTTTGTATTCATCTGGCCAAAAATAGCTCGGAGGATTCTAAGAGACTTGTGACAATAGTTATTGCAAGGATAGTTCCAAACAATTCAAAACATGGAGGATACTGCACTCATGTTCAACACACAGTGAGGAGTGTAGCTGTATTTACCATGGCATGTGGTGATGGTGCATGGTAGATCTTGTCAAGTGTCATCAACAGATGGAGGTTCTTAGATCAACAGGCTTTTACTCCCTGCCTAACACCATCCAGGCAGCATTTTGTCCTTTGTCTTAGTGGTTTTGTTGCACTTTGGCAAGTCAGTGTCTCGTCCTGCTTCTGAAAATACTCAAACTGTGCAGTAAAACGAAGGTAAAAGTGATGGGTAACATTTTTGTCCCTAGAATTTGTTAAGATTCTCGGTAAATGTCGGTAAAGGAGGTGTTTGCTGTAATTAGATGAGTTCAGTATCAGTGGGGAAAATTGTTAGGGTGAGCTTCAGGATGATTTTTGTAGGGTTTGAAGGAACCGAAAAGGCTGTAGCTGTTAAAAACCATAAAGGTTATAAATCTCTTGGCTAAGCAGCTCATTGTAGTTAAGTGTGTGCTCATTGGTTAATTGCAAATATGCTTGAGGCAGCATAAAATAAACCAAGTGGATATAAGTGATCTTTCAGCTCAAGTGGCCTTTGTTTCCTTGGCTAAGGTCACTTTTACTACAAGGGCAAATCCATGTTTGCTTGGTGTACAGATAATAAATCTTCCAAGCCTACTTAGGGAGAGGCCGCTGACTCCTTTGCCTTTTTTTGAAATAAATTTGTAGCTGGTGAGTAGAAAGTCATTTCCAGGAATGGAAAGCAAGAGCAGGTTCTCTTTATTCCATAAAGCACCTTGAGCTAATGGTGTTTTCTCACACTGAAGATGAATTTTTGAGTGTGCACTTTGGACTCCAGAGCTGAAATTCTGCACCTCTCTCCTGGTGTCTCTGTGTGGAGGTGCAGATGGGCATTTTAGAACACAGATGAATAATTTAGGCTGTCAAAGAAATGCATAGCATTTTGATACAGCTGTCCTTGAAGAGTTGTAGAGATTCGGATGTAGAGATCTGTATGTGTGTTATTGTGGAATTATGGTTCTAAAATTTCCTTTAATTTTCTTCTTACGAATTTTTTCCTTTCTGATCACCACATTTCTTTCACCAAAGATTGATTTTCCTCTCACTCTACCTCTGGTTGCAAAGAGATTAACATGCAGCAGAGTTGGCTTTTTTTTTGCAGAAACACTTTGCTTAACAAAATCACTTTCTTGCATCTCAGTGAATTTTCCTGGAATCTCCTGATGCAAACACAAGTATCACTGGATGACTAGACCAGAAATTTATGGTGCTATACTTTGGAAGCACTTCTGGATGCAGCTGTCTGCAACAACCTGAACAGTTTCTAGAACATCAAGAGATTTGGTGCCAGAGCTTTTCCCAGTAGAAAAGTATTTCTTTTTCATCCCACTATGTTAGAGTAACATAATGAAAACGTCTAAACTGTGAGGAATGGTCTAGTAGGAATGATGGAGGGATATTTTAGTGAGCCAGTAAGGAAACAGCTAGAGCTGTGTGCCATATGGGAATCCTCTTCTGGTATAAGGGAGTGGATTAAAGTTGTTTGTCTGTCATTTCCCCAGTTTTCTTCCAGAGTGCAAGTGGAGAAATGAAGGCAGAATTCTGTGTCCTTAAGACACCCTGATGACCCCGTAAGTGTGAAGGGTTAGTAGTGCTTTAAGTTTTTGTGCTGTTCAGTCACAGTTTTCCTCAATCAGGTACTCTTGGAGTACTTTTGGAGACTGGAGGGAACAAAGGCAGAAGTAAGTTTAAAAAGAAATCTGAAAAAAGAACATTCCAAAAATCTGATACTAGAAATGTAGCACTTAAGGCATACTGGATCTGATGACTGATTATCAACCCACTGGTTTACCATGGGGAATCATCCCTGGGGAAAGGATGTAGCATTTTATACTACAGACAGACCAAACTTTGTGAAAAGGACTTTAGTGACATGTCCCAACTGCCTGCTCCTGCCTTTTTAGCTTCAAGCTGGCTAAGGAGTCCAAAAGAGCTTTCCTGTTTCTCCATAGGCTTGGCTAAAGCCAACCTGCTCTAGCTCAGAGCATTTACAGCTGGGGCATTCCTCATCCTTGTGCTAAGCTGATTGGAAGAAACTGTAACATTCCTGATGCTTCCTGAGCATCCAACTGTTTGCTCTGTCATAATCCATCCCTGTTGCAGATGATATAAGCACAGCTCTGGTGAGTGGTGGAATAAGGTGTTTGGATAACTTGTGTAATTAGAAGAGTGGGTAAAGGTTAAATTCAGCTTTGTTTATTTTTTTTTTGCCTGCAAATATTTCAGTAAAATCAAACCAGTTGGTTCAGTTCTGCCTTTGCCTAAACTGAGATTGTTTTGCTTCATAGATTAGTTGGAGGCTGTGACTAGATCTTCCCTACCGATTGAGCAAAGCTCTGCTTTGCTGTTGGTCTTAATCCCTTTGCAACCTTTTTTCCCCCTGTAATATATGTAAACCATATTAAGGAATCTACAAGGATTAGTCTGTGTGCATTAATACTGTGCACTTTGTAGGTTTGGACTGGGATTGCAGGATGAGGCAGAGCACTCGTAGTTTGTCCTGTTTTGATTTCAATGTTAGAAGAATTCCTATATCCACATGGTATTTACACAGTTAAACATTTGCTTCTGATGAAACAGCAAGAGGAACAGAATGGTTTACATTGATCTCAGTGCTTTAAGATTTAATAAAAGAGAATGACTTGCAGTTTGAGTACATGAAATCTGACTCAGAATGTGGGATTATTCCTGTATTGAATCAAATCCCCAAGGAGGAATCCATCCCTTTTTGTTCCACTTTAAACTGTTTAATGGAGTTTGAATTGCATCTTCTTAATTCTGTCAGTTTGCAAGATAAGTCTTTTGGAAACTCTTTGCCTCACCCAACAGCTCAGCACAGGAAAATTGGCAAAGAGTAAACTTCTACCATTTCAAGATTTGCATTGTTTAGTCACTTTATGAAACTGATAATTTTCTGTGGGTTTTTTTCTTTCCCTTTCTCCCAACAACCTGTTGAGTTTGTAGAAGGTGGGCTGGTACCTTTTTAGACCTTTTTGCACTGTATTAATTATTGAACCTGTGTAAATGTGTATAAAATCATTTGGCATGGATATGTATATATGTACATATATCTAATAAATGGCTTTTTTGTAATGGTTTCATTTGGAATGTTGTATCAACTGATTATATCAATACCAAGGTTGAGCAGTCACTTCATTTTTCTTGGCATTTTTAGTGTTTCATCTGGCCAATCTGTCAGTCGAATAATACAAATATGGGTATAGAAACTTTGTTATCCAAGCAAGAGATTGCCGTAGGCTGTGAGATAATCTCTTTATGGCTTTATCAGTCTTGCTTTTTACTTTCAGAGTCTCTTAGAGAGGCTTTTCCCACAAAACTTGTGTGTTGAAGTATATGAAATAAGATGTAACAGTCCCATAGGTCCTTTCCCAGCTGCTTGGCAGTGAATAATGGGGATTTGGCAGATTGCTGTCAAATGTTCAGCCTGGTCTCCTAATGGAACTAGAAACTAGGCCTATTAGTCCTACCAGTCAGTCCCTACTAAGAGCCCGTGGACTTTTTTCAGCCAATTTCCGCTACCTTTAATGTCTCTGAAGACACCAATTCATCAGCTTTATAGCAATGACTGGCTCAATGTAAGACAAACATCAGCTTTCCCCCCATTGGAATGTGATGGGTTTGGGTATGGGCAGGTGTGATTGGAGTGAAAGGACTCACAGAGGACCCTGCTGGAGCAGAAACCAAAGAATAAGGTTAGAATCAAAGAGCTGGAAGCAATGAGGCTTGTGGAACTACTGGTGTTTTCCCATTTTTCTGCTCCTTGTTCTCCACAGGAGTGACGCCTACATATCTAATGGCTTCACACTGAAGAAGAGCAGATTTAGATTAGATATTAAGAAATTCTTCCCTGTGAGGGTGGTGAGGCACTGGCACAGGTTACCCAGAGAAAGGTGTAGATGCCCCAGCCCTGGAAGTGATCAAGGCCAGGTTGGATGGGGCTTGGAGCAACCTGGGCTAGTGTGGAAGGTATCCCTGCCATAGCAGGGGGTGGAACTAGATGATCTTTAAGGTCCCTTCCAACCCAAACCACTCTGTGAACTGTAGCTAAAGCAAAACGTGATACTTAGAGGGAGAAGCCACCTGTGTGCCCCTGGAATGAGGTAGAGCAGTGCAGGCAGTGGGTGGGAATAAGCCATAGCTGATGGCAAGGGAGGGAGGAGAGAGCCTCATTCTTCTGAACTGTTCTGCCCTTTGAAATCTAGATGTTATTTTTGTTCTGTAAATAAAGGATTGCTCAAAGCATGTTTCTTCTCAAGATGCCAATAGAGAAGAACAGCAGCCTCTCCCCTTTATTCTAAGGTGAGGGGAGAAAGCAATTATAACTCCCTCTCTCTTTTGAAGCTGCTGATAAAAGGAGGTGGGAGGATCACAGGGTCCCTGTGCCAAAAAGAGGAACAACTCCTAAGGTGATAGAAATACATGTTTTTATTTTAAACAAAGTAACTCAACTTCTGCTGTGTGCTGACTTTCAAATGTGACCTAATTGCATGTAAAAACTGTTTGTGAGGTGGGGAAAGGAAACCATGGCCACAAAAACGGGCAGGCAGGAGGTGGGGACAGCTGACCAGTCCTTCTCCACTGATGTTTGCTTTAAGAGCCATTGACCACATGTCTTAACCTCAGCAGTGAGGTGACTCCACTGAGGAAGGTGGGTGGAGGGGTCACAGGCTTCATTCCACACCTGTTAGCCTTTACAGGTACCTCCAGCTTGTCGGCAAATAAATCTCCACTAAAGCTATGACCTTTTGGAGAACGTTTTGGAAAGCAGCAGTACGA